GGGGCTTAACATAAGCTGTATAATCCTATTAGAAGGGTCATTCAGTAATGTTGCGACTGGGAAGAGAAACAGCTGCACAGTTCTGCAGTAATGCTCCATCACCATGACAAGACGAGAGTGAGGCTGGCACATATCACAGAAAAGAGCCCATGTGACTTTGTTCAGGAAAAAGCGGAAGAATAAACCAAGTGGATCTACTCGCGAAACACCTTATAACCTACGATCAACTCTTTTTCGACACCCAAAGCCAGCCAGCCGAGGGTCTTTTCACCGTTGACGTGCCCTGTTGAGAGACGGTGGTTGAACAAAATTCAAGCATGAGTGTGGGATATGAGGCCTTAGTGCTGTTTGGCTTGGGTAGGGGAGGGGTCCTTACACTTTCGCTACTTCCCATTGTCGTGTGGAATAGAGAACTTTCAAATCCTGCAATGCATCTTGTACCTGCCAACTCTTGTAATGCAATGAACACGACAACGGGATGTAGCGAAAGTGTAAAATGCCCTCCCCCCCCCAAGCCGAACTGCGCCTGAGGTTTGCCTTACCTGGCTCTTCTTTGTAGGAATGGTAGTGTTACGTGAGATGAGTTTCGTCATTACACCTCCAAGGGTTTCAATACCCAGTGAAAGAGGTGTCACATCGAGCAAGAGCACATCGGTGACGTCACCTGGAATCGCGGCTCAGATTTCAAGAAAAGATGAACAATCCCGGAGGATTCGAACAGTAACTAACCAGCCAACACAGCTCCTTGGATAGCAGCTCCCATGGCTACAGCTTCATCGGGGTTTACAGCTTTTGATGGGGTGCGTCCAAATACTTCTTGTACAGTTTGCTGTACCTTTGGCATTCGAGACATACCTCCTACCAAAAGGACTTCAGCGATCTCTGACGGCTTCACCTGAAACATGCTTTTGTTGGGAAACCGTATCCATCACAAAACATTCATCTCTTTCCAAGTTAATAAAAGCCCGCAATTTCACGGACAGGAACTTAATTAAAGGCAGTGGGCACGATTGCTGGAGCAGGCATTTATTGCTAGTGTCACTGATTGAAGTGCTGCTAGAGGCTTCTGGCCACAGTCCCACTTAGCCCTTCCACCAATGACTTCGGCGAGAACCGCCCGCTCCCGGCCTGTCCTCTACAATGACCTGTTAGGTCCAGTTGATAAATGAATAAACAATTTCGTCCGTTATCCAAGACGAGTGGGTAACAATCCTCCCGATTCGGGCGGGGAAGGAAGGCTTCTTTCGTTCACAGGGTAGCCGATACGGAATTCTACCCCCTCCCCTCTCCCCCAAGTCAAGTATATGGGAGGCGGCCCCACCAGCCAATATATCTCCCTGCCCAACTGATACCGTCGAGTAGCAGAGAGCAAAACTGTAGTTTTTGAAGAGAAGTTCGGAGGACAAAGATTCCTCTGCCCAACTGAGAATTGGTGGTTAATAATCAAGCACTGGAAACCGCAACGAAAAGAGCAACACTTTTAGCAGCAACTTGACCGCACCTGAATTGAATTCACTTTGGGGAGCGAAAACATCCAGGTGCGGTAAATTGTTCAAGCTGGCTCAGAAATCACGTTCATCAACACCTTTATGATTTTATAAGGAATAAATAATGAATTGGCTGGAATATTCAATAGTTCTAAATTTTAACCAAATCAATAAGCACCTCTGCGTCATGCATAGCTTTACGGCAAGGTTCCACCGTGCGTTTAATGAGATCCGCCACAAGCTGCTCGAACTTCGCCCTAGAATCCGTATTCATGTCGCGTCACTCCAAATTCAGTCGAAGTAGAAACGAAATAAGATAAATGGAGTGTACACGATGGTAGGACCAACCTCGTGAGTTTCAAGGTCATATGTTTCGGTCCAGACGCGTCCATGGTGAGGTACGGAAGATTTATGTCCGTTTGTGTCGTGGACGACAATTCACATTTCGCCTTTTCAGCGGCTTCACGTAGTCGCTGCATAGCCATAGGGTCCTGTAATGCACAATCTCATTTTCATACTTGAATAAACACTCTTTCTCTTGTCCTGCAATGTGACTTTACCTGGCCTTAGTGCCATTTTCACAAAAGGAAAACTTAACAAGCGGAGGAGTTCTGGCACTTCCCTCACAACGAAATATTCGAAGCACGACACGTGGGCTTGAAGAAATCTGGACAAGGGGGTTCAAGCTGCTCTCAGAAGGGTCTTTCGCTTAGGAAGAAGGGCTTAAGATAGTCTGAAGGCAGTAGGGATCAGCCCAAAGAATGGAAACTTCCACCGTTCTAATTTGATCACACTTATTTTTATGGAGCAAAATGCAATTTCCTGATAATCTATGGAGAAAACTGCTAAGCGAGCATACGAAAATGTACAATGAGTTCGAAAGGGGTCTAGTTGAACAGCA